GGATATTTTCTATGCATGACTGCTAGATTACTTTTCCCCTGGCCTCCTAAAAGAAATTTCTGGGGCTTAGGACTCCAGGAGAAAACTCTAGAGTTTGGCAGCCTTGGGGGGAGTCAGTGGTGAGGAGAAACATGTTGGCAAAAACCGGACTCCATGAGTCACAGGGAAATCTCACTGCATCCCAGGGGAAAGACCCAAATCTTGATCCTTCTTTGCTCTTTCTCTTGCTTTCTCTACTATGTGTGTGTGGGTGGAAGGGACAAAACTGGATTTTGAAGGCACTCAAAGGCAGAAGCGCTCAGGATAGCTAATTGAAAACAGCTTTCAGAGGAGATGCCAGGAAGCAAAATGCAGAGGCATTCGGTTCATCTGCAAGCAGAAACGAACAACAGAATAACTGTCAGAAGGGACCTTGGTGGTCCGCTAGTCCAGGGCTTTTCAACCTTTTCACCCATTGAACCACTTTTAGGATAAGGCAACATCCGAGTACCATCAGTCGCCTGGCAAGATGTCAAAAACCTGACCCCCCCCCCAAAAAGGAAAAAAAGTGATAAAGTACAGGTAGTCCTCGACTTACAACAGTTCGCTTAGTGACTGTCCGAAGGTACAATGGCACTGAAAAAAGTGCCCCCCAAGCCACAGCCGAGCAAGACACCTGCTTGCCCACCCGGCGGTGCTCTTCTTCCTGTCCAAGGTTTCCATTGTTGTGAGCGTTTCTGTTGAGGATTGGCAGTGGGGATGGGGTGAGGGGGGTGTTTGGTTTTTATTCCCCCAGTCTGCTGGGTGGTTGCAGCAGGTTTTGGTCACTTCACAAGACCCTGGGACACTGTGACCGTCCTAAATATGAATCAGTTGCCAAGCATCTGAATGGAAATCACAAGACCCTGGAGATGCTGCAACATTCCAGCTGATTGGCGCTTCTTTTGGGCTCAGCAGAAGCGCCAGGATCAATGCTGAGCTGCAGCTGGAAAGCGGCACTGATCCTGGCGCTTCCACTTGCGCCCTGACAGCCCTGCAGCTCCAGCCATCTCTCGGTCAGGCTTGTGCGGTGCTGCCACCGGTTCAGCTCATTCCCCTCCCCTGCTACCCCTTTTCTAGGATGGTTGCGTACCCCCTGCCAGGTGCCAATGTACCACAGGTGGTACCCGTACCACTGGTTGAAAAGGCCTGTTCTAGTCCAACCCCCTGCTTAAGCAGGAGACCCTAGACCATTATGGACAAATAGCTCTCCAATCTCTTGATTTGAAAACTGAATCCATTCGACACGTGGAGATCGTTGGGTATAATATTTCTTGTGCTTGTATTTGACTGATCACTTGACTGACAGATGTTATGACAAGTTAAAGGTATTTTGGCTGATGAGGTCTAGTTTGGCATTTTCCAATGTGGTGATTGATCATAAATGTTGTATGGAACAATGGACATAAATGAGATGATGGATGGATGGATGGATGGATGGATGGATGGATGGATGGATGGGTGGGTGGATGGATGGATGGGTGGATGGATGGAGAAACAGAGATATAGACAGAGCAGTAATTCTCAACCTGTGGAAGGAAGGAAGGAAGGAAGGAAGGAAGGAAGGAAGGAAGGAAGGAAGGAAGGAAGGAAGGAAGGAAGGAGATGGGAATGGTAGGAAAGAAGGATGGAGAAAGGACGGAGAGGAAGGAGATGGATGGATGGATGGATGGATGGATGGATGGATGGATGGATGGATGGATGGATGCAGTGACAGATAGATGCAGAGAGGGAGGGAGGGAGAGTGAGACAGACAAATAATTTTGGCTGCTTTCTGCATTGAATAGTATTTGAACACTAGGAATGTTCATGGAATATTGTATGTCTGAATGAAAGACTCTGAAGGAAAGCCAGGCTAGAAAGGGGCTACAACATGCATTCTAACACAGTGTTTGCCAAGCACGGCTGGCCTGCCCAAAACATCCCGATAAGGCCGCTGATTGTCTGAAGGAATGCAATCAAAGAATCCTAAGAGTTATATGACAACTTGGCCTCGTTTGAAGACTTCCCGCAAAGTCTTTGGGCTTAAGGTCTCTCTGGCATTCTGTCCTACTGTAAGCCAACTCCCTTCTATCAAAATGGTTGGCCTCCCACCTCACCCTTAACCGCACAACAGACCCTTACCAAGCCAAGCAGTTCTTGCTTTTGATTGCAAGCATCCTTCACAGGGGGGGGGGCTGAGCTTCACAGAGAGAGAGAGAGAGAGAGGGAGGGAGGGAGGGAGGAAGGGAGGGGGAGAGAGAGAGGGAGAGAAGAAGAAGAAAAAGAAGAAGAAGAAGTAGAAGAAAAAGAAGAAAAAGAAGAAGAAGTAGAAGAAGTAGAAGTAGAAGAAGAAGAAGAAGAAGAAGAAGAAGAAGAAGAAGAAGAAGAAGAAGAAGAAGAAGAAGAAGGAAGAGAAGAGAAGAAGAAGAAGAAGAAGAAGAAGAAGAAGAAGAAGAAGAAGAAGAAGAAGAAGAAGAAGAAGAAGAAGGAAAGAAAGAGAGAGAAAAGAAGAAGAAGGAAAGAGAGAAAGAAAGAGAGAGAGAAAAGAAGAAGGAGGAGGAGGAGGAAAGAAAGAAAGAAAGAAAGAAAGAAAGAGAAAGAAAGAAAGAAAAAGCAAAACAAAATAACAGAAAATGGATATTTTAAACGAACGGAACTTTCCTGAAGCCCAGCCGTGGGTTGGTTTTGGGTTTCGCTCAAGTTATTTTTTTTTCTTCTTCGCATAGGCTTTTAAAAGCAAGTTCTCACTCATCCATTAAGCGACAGGTGACGGGTGCCAAGCTCCATTCTTCACCCTCCCAGTTCAGTTTCTCTTCTCGGTCTTCTTGGGGGTCAAGGAAACGGAGAGGAGAGGAGAGGCACACTGCAAGGGTTTGCAAAAAGGCAGGGGTGCACCATGGGGTCTTGGTGAGCTCCATGGTTGTATAAATTACAGATGTGGGCAAGGATCAGTCCCCTAACTGGGAGAGGTATTAAAATCAAAACCAGTCCTCCCTGTTCCACCGAGACAGACCGTTGAATATGATACATGTCGAATTGCTGGAATGAATTTCAAATGCCAGAGATAGTTTATGTAAAGTCTTGCGCTGTTGTAAAATGTAACACTATCCATTGGCAAGTTCTCGGCAAAACTTGGGTCCCGGTTCGGGTTTTTTCTTTCTTCCAGAAACCATCCCCCCTTCTATTTTATTATTTTTATTGTATTTTTATTGTATTTTTTTAAAAAAAATTAACGAAACTGGGGGAAAAAAAAGTAACTTTTTTTTCCCCAACCCATTAAACCTGATTTATGTTTTGCCCATGGATTCCTTCCCTCTCTCTCTCTCTCTCTCTCAGCTTTTTGGGATTTAAATGAGAGAAATAATGACTTCACTTTTGGCTCCGGTCTCTGAATACTTGAATTTTGATTTTATTGTGTTTTATTCTGTGTGGATGTTCTTACTTGAGGTCCTGTGGAATTCCTTTTCCACGGTTGCCACCGTGGAAGTTCCCAGCGTTCCCTTCAAAATCTTTTTTGTTGTTTCAGATTCCAGGACAGTCCTGTCATTGGAGCTAATGAACGACCATTTTTTCAGAGGGCTGATTTATTTATTTTTATTTTATTTTTGGGGGGAGGGGGAAGGGATGAAGACAGACCAGCAAATTATCACTTAATGAAACTTGCATTGTTGTTGCTAGAGCGACGGATGCAAGAAGGATGGTGCTTTTCTTCCCTAAATGCCAAGATCCCTCCACCTATCTTAGATTGTGTGTCCATTGGCCTGGAAGTCAAGATTGGTGGCTTCTCCTTCTGCAACAAAATGTCTTAAAGCTCTCTTTTAAAAAAAAATATATAAGAACACCCATGGTTAGAAGCAGAGGTATTTTTCACCTTCTCTCAGAAAGTTTTGAGGAGCAGCTATCTGGACTGTAGGTCAAGGGTGGAGATCTTCACACCTTCAAGGTCTTGTTGAGGTACAATTTTGAAATGCCAATAGACCCAGAAGTGAGGGATTCTAGAAGATTTGGTCCCTCGGGTGTCTTGAGCTTCTTGAAAATGTAGGGAGTTCTCCACAAAGAGAAGCTTGAAGACTCTGTTGGATATATTGTTACTCCCACCAGTTATCTTAGCCAGTTGGAGTCAGCAAACCATCAGAAAACATTTTTGCTCACAAGGTGCCCTGCGCTTCCATCGTCCATCTTGCACGGCAAGTTGACAGAAAGACTCTGCTTCTGTGGCTCAGGAGAGGTGGACACCATTGGACACATACTCCTTCGATGCTCTTTCTATAGAAATATTCGAAAAAACTATATCCTCCCAATAATTGATAGATATCCTGGCCGTTCTGACGCTACTTATCTCCAGTGGTTGTTTAAGGTCAGGTGGCTAGATTCTGCACAGTGGTTGTTTAAGGACAGGTGGCTAGATTCTGCACAGCAGATTCATTGAAAACATAAATAAGATAAATATTATTTTAGATCTGTTTAATATTCTTTTAAAGACAAAGTTAATTGTATTATATGTGTTCTTATTCATGCATTTTTTTATATATGTATGTATGTAAGTAGCTTACAATTGGATATTTTATTGCTTCTAGCCATGTGGCTGTAATAAACTGATTTGGTTTGATATCTTTATGCCTTGGGTTTGCAAAATAGTGCTAAATGGGGTCTACAACAACTTGTGACAGCCAACTTGCCTTGGCCAACTCAACACAGCCAACTTGCCTTGGCCAACTCAACATGGCCAACTTGCCTTGGCTAACTCAACATGGTCAACTTGCCTTGGCTAACTCAACATGATCAACTCGCTGTGGCCAATTCGCCATGGCCAACTCACCACAGTCAACCCGCTACAAGACAACTCACCATGGCCAACTTGCCATGGGATAACAAACTGTGGGACGCTCCGACAATTCGATTTAATTCACTTAAAATAATTAAAAATCATCCTTTTAATTTTGGTCAGTCACATGTTACATCAGACTGTTTACCGGACTTTATGTTCTTCTTTTCATCAGATGTGCCGGACCAAGGAGTACGATTTCAACGATGCTATGGCCCGATATGCGTGGTATCCCTGCACTGCCAACCACACTCACACAGTTTTCTGGCTAAAGGTAAATATGCAATGCAAGTAGATAAAATAATGAGGTTCAAAGAGAAGCAGAAGGAAGTCTGTTCCCTAGAGTTTTGTCACTTTTCAAGGACAAACGCTGGTTTGTTTAGATGCCTTGTAATTTGGTGTGTTTTTTGTGGGACGGAAGGTCTGCTGATGGTGAACCACAATGGACTTTTTTGGTAGACCCAGATAAATGCAAAAGGCTAGCTAGATGATACCCTACTGCTTCCTCAAGAGTCTTAGGATCACCACTTTCTTTAGCTTCTCCGGCTGTGCATGCCCAAACCCGACAAAATCTTGAGCTTCATAGACTCTCTTCCCATTTGTGTCTTTCCAATGGCAACTTTCAGTCTTCCCTGTGGTCCAGAAGCCTTCTCGGAAATAACCACGGTGTTGGAGGCTGGTTCTTGGCTGCGCAATAGGCAGGATTCCCATTTGGTGTCGGTGCTAAATACACACCGATTGAAATTGTTGCTTTCTTTAAAAAGTTGCAGTCAAAATGAGGTTGATCAGGAAAACTGTCCAAATAGAACAGGGGTCTTCAAACCTGGCCCTTTTGTGACTTGTGGACTTCAACTCCCAGAATTCAAATAGAGCAAGGGTCTTCAAACCTGGCCCTTTTATGACTTGTGGACTTCAACTCCCAGAATTCCTCAGCCAGGCACGCCTGGCTGAGGAATTCTGGGAGTTGAAGTCCACAAGTCATAAAAGGGCCAAGTTTGAAGGCCCCTGAGATATCTAACTGACCCCTTGGAAGTCCTCTCTGCATGAGCATGAAGTTGAGGTAGAACTTTCTAAGAAGCTTCATATATCGGATTCTGTCTTGTCTGGTTGAGGATTGGGATGGCAACTTGTGGGTCTCCAGATAGTTCTCACAGGTGGGGGTGAGATTGAGGTTGCTAAGGATTTTAATCCTGGAGGGTCATAAAGATGGGTAGCATCTCCCTGTTGGCTTAAGGTCTTTCCCATCTCATCCATTGCTCTCAAGGGATTGAAATTCCACAGGCCAGGGGACAAACCTTGGTTAAGCTTCCAACAAAACATGGGGCTTTTGTTTAAGTGAGACTCGATCCACACATCCTTATTCTCTCTCCTCCCCAGGCTTTCTATACCCGACCCATGGTAGCCGCTGCAGTGATCATCCATTTGGTAACAGATGGGACATGGCTGGAGATGGATCTGGACCAGAAACAAGAGTCCATTTTTGTGCAGCTGGTGGACACCAAAAACCAAAGTCACGATCTCGGTGAGAATGCTGGCTTGGTTATAACACAACCAAAATTAGACAGACAAAAATCGGCAGCAGGTGAGGGACGAAAGAAGGAAGGAAGGAAGGAAGGAAGGAAGGAAGGAAGGAAGGAAGGAAGGAAGGAAGGAAGGAAGGAAAAAAGGAAAAAAGTATAGCTGTATGTTTGATGGTGCCACTGCGCTGGAAGAAGAAGCCATCCATTCTACAATCTCGGTTTTGCTACTGCTTTTCCATTTAGCTTCCTCTGCCCAATTAATGACCCTTTTCATCTTTCTCTCTCTCTCTCTCTCTCTTTTTTCCCACCAACCCTGCTTCCCTCCCCCCTCTCTCCTTTTCCTTCTCTACCTCCAACCCTCACCCCCCCACCCCCCACCCTTCCAGGAGAGCACGGCTTGAGCTGCCGCAAGAACCCTTTGATTATCCCGGTTGTCCATGACCTTAGCCAGCATTTCTACCACACTCAAGCCATTCTCATCACCTTCAGATCTCAGTATGTGGCGATCTCCGGGGTGGCCTTGCGCTCCTTCCAGGATTTTGACCCCATCGCTGTCAGCAGCTGTCAGAGTGGACAGACCTATAGCTCGGCTGAACAGAGGTAAGTAAGTCCCGGCTGGCTTTTTACCCGCTCATTAGCTGCCAACTTCAGAAGGCCAGGGGATCAAGGGGATCGTCCGAAAGGGAAAGGGGTGATTGACCTTTTGCCATTGTTGGCGGGAGCCATGCGGCTCTGGCTGAATGCAAACAGGCCCCGGCCATTTAACCCACAAGGGAGCAGGGTCCATAGATTATTTCCACCTCCTCTGACCTCTCTCGGTGACCTCAGTCCAACCGGCACAGTTTTCCCCCAAGCTTGGCCTTAAATGCGCAGCGGGAGAAACGAAAAGAAAGAGCTTTGTCGTTGGGTTTGGTTTTTGGTTTTTTTCTTTTCATTCTTCTCTGGACGAAAATGCTTTCTTTGGTTGTTGTATTTTTTTCAGTGGATCTTTAACAGGTCAGTCTTGAGGGGAAAATGTGGTGTGCAAAGGAACAAATCAGTCCTGGTTTTAAATGCTGCATTTACTACCAAAAAAAAAAAAAAAAAAAAAGGAAAAAGAAAAGAGAAAAAAAAAACAGCTGGGTGGGCCATGGATTAGGAAGATGCTGAAATTGTTCTTTCTATGTCCCCATAGAACTTATTTTTCTTCTTTCGTGTTAATGTTTAGAGTGACTTAGAATTTCCTTCCTTCCTTCCTTCCTTCCTTTCTCCTCCCTCCCTCTTCCTTCCTTCCTTCCTTCGTCCCTCCTTCCTTCCCTCCCTCCAAGTTCTTCCTCCCTCCCTCCCTCCCTCCTTCCTTCCTTCTTTCTTCTTCCCTTCTTCTCCCTCCCTCTCTTCCTTCCTTCCTTCATCCCTCCTTCCTTTCCTCCCTCCAAGTTCTTCCTCCCTCCTTCCTTCCTTCTCCCTCCCTCCCTCCCTTCCTCCCTTCCTTCCTTCGTCCCTCCTTCCTTCCCTCCCTCCAAGTTCTTCCTCCCTCCTTCCTCCCTTCTTCTTCCCTCCTTCTCCCTCCCTCCCTCCTTCCTTCCTTCTTTCTTCTTCCCTTCTTCTCCCTCCCTCTCTTCCTTCCTTCCTTCATCCCTCCTTCCTTTCCCCCCTCCAAGTTCTTCCTCCCTCCCTCCTTCCTTCCTTCTCCCTCCCTCCCTCCCTTCCTTCCTTCCTTTGTCCCTCCTTCCTTCCCTCCCTCCAAGTTCTTCCTCCCTCCTTCCTTCCTTCCTTCTTCTTCCCTCCTTCTCCCTCCCTCTCTTCCTTCCTTCCTTCATCCCTCCTTCCTTTCCTCCCTCCAAATTTTCCTCCCTGTTCCTTCCTTCCTCCTCCTCCCTCCCTCCCTCCTTCCTTTCCTTCCTTCCTTCCTTCCTTCCTTCCTTCCTTCCTTCCTTCCTTCCTTCCTTCCTTCCTTCCTTCCTTCCTTCCAACATTCAGACACCTCCTGGACCCTGTCCAGCTGAGGTATGGACAAGAAACCCACCTCCCAACCATTAGAATCTCCCTCACGCTGATTTCTCCTTTGGAGGATAAAACACGTCCATTCCCATCTAACTGAAAGAGAACAACATGGTCTCTGTTTGGAAAAAGAGCAATGGTTTAAAGCTGTATTTCCTGTTTCTTTTGAACAGCTGACTCCCACAAGCTCAAACCATCCAACATGTTGTGTTTTCTGGGGTTTTTTTAAACTTTAATATGACATTTGCCTCTTTCTTCTTTCTTCCCCTCTTTCCCTCTAATGTTTCTCTCACCTCCACTACAGGTTGTAGTAATCTGTACCTGAAAAGCTCACCATCACCAGTGAGGTGATAGGGACTTTAGCTTGAAAGAAAAGGAGCACAGGAGCCCTGGTGTGTCTGTCTGTCTGTCTGTCTGTCTGTCTGTCTGTCTGGCTGGCTGGCTCAGAACATTCCCATTTGGTTTTTCAGCAACGCTTTGTCTCCCGTTATTCCAGGAAGTCTTTTTCCATCTCTGCCAGCTTCTCGCTGTGGGGCTTGGCCCAACATCCCCCAATTGGACCTTGGGTTTGAAACTGGATCTGGCTAATGGGAGGTCTCTGAACGTACTTGCCTCCTTTGGAGCGATCCGAAGCCATGTCTCATGGTTCAGACCTAGCTTCTCGGTGCTAAATTGCTTTTTTTTTTTTTTTTTTTGCATTTCTTCTTTGCGCATCCAGCCAAAGGACAGAGATGTTGGGGGGTGGGGGACAGGATCCCGCGCAAATAGTTAGGTTTGTTTCCACCTTGGATGTTAATCTGCACTTCCCCCTGCTATTCTCTTGCTGGCTGATATTTCACCCTTCTTTAAAGAGAGGTTGACTCTAAATTGTTCTGACTCCTCCTCGTATAAACCTGGGTGGTCTCTTCTCCACAAAAACGAATTTATTTGCCGTCACTTTCCAGGTGTGTTCCAAAGCTGTTCCTAAAAGCTCCCGAGCCTTGGTGAGCTAGCGATGAAGTCTCCTCCTTCCATATGTAAAAATTAACATTTGAAGGCCTGTTGGGAAACAATTATACTTTCCTCCTCCTCCTTTTTTTTTTTTTTTGCAAAAGAAACAGTCTCTCTGTTCTGGATACTGCTGGAGAGCTCCAGGGGCCTTTCTCCGTGGCTGTTATTCAGGGATTTGGAAAGCAAGACCTCTACCTTGATGTGGTGGGCCCCTCTTCTCCTGCAGATCGGCTCAGATTTGCTTTTGAACCGAAAAGAGGAAATATTATCACCTCGCTGGTGTCTCTAGCTTGGAGTGGGTTATAAATCTATGCTCATATTCAAATTCCAGCATCAAAAGCTTGCAGTCTTTTGCCAAGGCATGTTGAGCGGTTTCCCAGTGGGACTTAGCCTGGACAGGAAGCTTAAATGATTTGCCTGATGCTCAATACCTCTTCCAGCTCTTCGGCTTTTCCTTGGCCTGGTGAAGGTCTCCTGGAAAAGATTCTGGTTAGCATCGCACAGCCCTGCCATCCCACTTCCTAAGCTTTTGAAGGCATTTTGAGGTCAGATTCGGGGAGGAGGGGGTCTCCTGAACAACGAGGGTTGAGGAACCTCCACAGCACTGCGATCCCCTTCCTGACCTTTTATAGGTATTTTGAGGCAGATTCAGGAGGTCTCCTGACCAACACGGGTTGAGGAACCTGGAATTCATAGCCCTGTAATCCCCTTCCTAGGTTTTTCAATGGCATTTTGAGGTCAGATTCAGGGGGGTCTCCTGAACAACGAGTGTTGGGGGACCTGGAACTCATAGCCCTGTAATCCCTTTCCTAGGCTTTTGAAGATATTTTGAGTCAAATTCAGATGGTCTCCTGAACAACAAGGGTTGACGAACCTGGAACTCATAGCCTTGTGATCTCCTTCCTGGGTTTTTCAATGGCATTTTGAGGTCAGATTCAGGGGGTCTCCTGAACAAGGAGGGTTGAGGAATCTGGAACTCATAGCCCTGCCATCCCCTTCCTTGGCTTTTGAAGGCATTTTGAGGTCAGATTTAGTGACGCCCCAAACAACTAGGGTTGAGGAACCTAGATTATTCCACGTGTTTAATGGTATATAATTCCCATCGGCTTCTACCAAGAGAATTGACATGAGACAACAACTGAAAGGTCACAAATTCCATGTTTCAATTTCAAATGGTTTCGCCTCTCCAAATAGCATGTGGTTTCCTTTCCTTTTAAGTGCAGAGTGTGCGTTGCGTACTTGATAGTAGTACACTTGCTTTTCTCAAATCCTCTGAACCATATTTTATTATCCACACATTTGTTGAAGCAGCCAAGGGCCTAGCTTCTGCAGGGTGGGCTGTATGTTTTCTATCACACCCTTCAATTTACAGCTGTGCAGCACAGATAGTAGTATACACAAATACACACACACACACTGAGAAAGCGAGAGACAGAGGCACAGCACATTTTAGGAGAAGATATTTTGTTTTTGAGCTTGACCATGTGCCACTGACACAGGGAATCCCCGGCACATTAAAAATGCTTCTCAGCATCTTTAATTCATTTTTTTTCCCCAATCCCCAAATGGTTTCTCTTGATGTGGTTTTTAAAACACAGATGTACTTTGGCTTTTAAGAAAAGACTGGATAGCCACCTATCTGAAATGGTCTAGGTTCTCCTGCTTGAGCAGGGGGTTGGACTAGAAGACCTCCAAGGTCCCTACCAGCTCTATTCTGATTGAAATGTGCTGTGCCCTTCATCCCTTCTCCATTTCCCATGCAGAAATTGGGCTCATCTCAATGGTGATTCCTTGAACCAATTAGACTGAACATCCCCTGCAGTTAGAGTTGGCTCCTTCATCATTCGACTTCAAGAGAGTAGATCACAGGATCACTCAAGCCAGAAACTTGGTTAATTGCATGTGGGGAGGAAGGAAGGGAAGGGAAGAAGGAAGGAAGGAAGGAAGGAAGGAAGGAAGGAAGGAAGGAAGGAAGGAAGGAAGGAAGGAAGGAAGGAGGATAGGTTCCATCCTTTACTTCTTAACCAGATATTTTTCCAGACCCAGAACCCAATAAATATAAATTCCAACATCTCTTGAACCTCAGCAAAGCTTTAACCACAGAGCTATTCCAGCTGCCTTTTCTTTGTGTTTTTATTTCTTTTGTTAAGAATTTTCTTTTACCAAAAAGAGGAAGGAAGGAAGGAAGGAAGGAAGGAAGGAAGGAAGGAAGGAAGGAAGGGATGAAGGAGGAAGAAAGGAAGGAGGGAGGGAGGAATGAATGAATGAAGGAAGGAAGGAAGGAAGAGATGGAGGGAAGAGGAAAGGAAGGAAGGAGGGAGGAAGGAAGGAAGGAAGGAAGGAAGGAAGGAAGGAAGGAAGGAAGGAAGGAAGGAAGGAAGGGATATTCTAACTCATCCTAAACATGAAGTACGAAAAAGAGGCTTCTTTCAGGACATGGAAAGAGAACTTTCAGAAGACCAAAGTCACATTTAGGTGAAAACACGGTGCTCTTTGGGACGTTACCACCCTACCAGATATATACTCTACCTTGCAAGTCCGATTACTCTACTCTCACTGAGACCTTTTTTTTTTCTCCCTTTCCTTCCCCCTCTGAACAGCTGCGTCCCCCATTCTTGCAAGACCCGGGACTGCCAGGAGTTGGAAATCGAGAACGCCATGCTGACTTTCACCGACGGGGGGCGCTACAATGGTGCCCAGTGTAATGTTACCTGCCAGGCAGGTTACGTCCTCCGGGTTCACAGAACCGACCATCTGCCCCAGAGACAGGTTGGTGGAATCGGCGCACACCGTCTGCCGTGTGACGTGTTCATACCGCAAACTGTACATAGCAGGGGTCTTCCAACTTGGCCCTTTCATGACTTGTGGACTTCAACTCCCAGAATTCCTCAGCCAGCATGCCTGGCTGAGGAATTCTGGAAGTTGAAGTCCACAAGTCATGAAGGGGCCATGTTTGAAGACCCCAAGGTGACTGATGGGAGAGGCAGGCTCACCAGCTGGGAAATTAGCCTTGCTGTGGGGGTCTTTGTTGGCTATGGGGCTGCAGGGAGTCGACTGTGATAACACCGGATGTTGGTAATCCTTCACTTACAACCACAACTGAGCCCCAAATTGTTTCTTGCTAAGTAAGAAATTTATTTATTTATTTATTTATTTATTTATGAGACTTATGTGCCCCATTTTACGACTTTCCTTGCCCCCTTTGCTAACCGAATCACTTCCTTTGTTAAACGACTGTCCAATCTCTTCTCAAAAACCTCTAGTGATGGAGCACCCACGATTTCTAAAGGGAAGCTGTTCCACCAGTTAATTGTCCTCACTGTTAGGAAATGCCTCCTTAGTTTTAGGTTGCTTCTCTCCTTGATTAGTTGTCCTGCTTTCAGATGTTTTGGAGAAGAGCTTGACTCCCTCTTCTTTGGGGCAGCCTCTCAAATATTGAAACACAGCTATCACGTCTCTCCTGGTCCTTCTTTTCATTCAACTAGACATACCCAATTTCTGCAACTGCTTTTTGCATTCCCGACTTTACTGGCAGATGCCAAGAAAGCGCCAAGCGATTCAAGCAGGGCTGTTTCTGCCGCGAGCATTGCAAATAAATAAACCCTAAAGCAAGGGGTGGGAGGGGAGGAGAAGTAAACGGAGGAGGAGGAGGAGGAGGAGGAGGAGGAGGAGGAGGAGGAGGAGGAGGAGGAGGAGGAGGAGGAGGAGGAGGAGGAGGAGGAGGAGAAGCAGGGATAAATCTCATGCCTGCAAGACACCAAGAGGCAGTTTATTAGGAGGTCTTTGGGGAGAGAGAGTCTGGTGGATGTCTTTGACCTTGCTATCACCATCCAAACGAAGGTGCCTTCCTTTGGCAGCCAGCAAATTTGGTGGGTGGCGTCTTCCCGTAAGGAACCGGAAGATATGTTGAGTTTTCTCAATTTAGAAGAGCGAACTCAACCATCTGGGCCTCCGTTACGCTGAGATTTTTTTTACCCTAGATTTTTTTTTTACCCTAACACGGCCCCAGCACTGACTGGCTTCTTTCTCTTCCAGGAGAAAGTTGGCTGTCTCTTTTCCTTCTCCAACCTGCCCCCCCCTCAACACACACACACACACACACACACACACACACACACACACACTCCACCCAAGCCCGAATGGCTTGTTTGTTTCTCTCTCTTATGGGCTCTTTGCAGCCAAAGAGAATCCAGAGATTTTCAGGAAAAAAAGAAAAGAGAATCAGATAGTTTCCCCCAATTATTCTCTCTGTCTGCATGTTTGTGTGTGTGTGTGTGTGTGCACACACATGTCTTAATTTGGCACCGACTCTCTGCTATCAACATATCCGTAGACTATGCCGGAGGTTTTCTGTTGCTTATGGTTTGTGAAAGGCCCCAGCTTTTCCTGAAACCAGAAGGATGAGAGAGATTTATGCTGAGGTTGGGGAACAGAGAGAGGGGGGGGGAGAGAAGGAAGAGAAAGAAGTAGGCAGAACAAGAGAGAGGGAAGGAAAAGAGAGAAGGAAGGAAGAGAGGGAGGGGGAAAGGAGAAAGACAGAGGGAAGGAAAACAGAAGGAAGAGAGAGAGAAGGAAGGGAGAGGGGGAGGAAGAGAGAGAAGGAAGAGAGGGAAGGAAGGAAGAGAGAGAGGGAAGAGAGGGAGAAGGAACAAGGGGGGAAAGAAGAGAGCAGGAGGGGGGAGAGAGAGAGAGAGAAGGAAGAGAGAGAGAGAGAGAGAGAGAGAGAGAGAAAGAGAGAGAGAGAGAGAGAGAGAGAGAGAGACTGTTTAATTCAGTGGCACACCAAACAGGATCACAATCCCTCCTTCTCTACCCCATGGCCTGGATTTTTTTGTGTTGAACCCCACCTCTGTGGCCAAGCCCTTTCTAAAGAGCAGAAAGCTGGTTCTGCAAGGAGGCTGAGATGGATGGAGGGAGGGAGGGAGGGAGGGAGGGAGGGAGGGAGGAAGGAAGGAAGGAAGGAAGGAAGGAAGGAAGGAAGGAAGGAAGGAAGGAAGGAAGGAAGGAAGGCAAGCCAGGCTGAATGTCCAGAGAAGGCGAGTCCACTAACTAAATACAGCCGGGCTTACAGATTTCACCAACAGAGCAATGTGTGTGTGTGTGTGTGTGTGTGTGTGTGTGTGTGTGTGTCTGTGTGCACATGTGTTTGTACGGATGTTAAGAACCAGAGCCAACTCATGTGCCTGGTTTTGATCAAGGGGCTTTGTCTCCAAAGCAAACAGGGATGCCTACTTCATTTCACCACCCTGCCCTACTCTGGTTACTCGGTTGGACCACAGCCCCCATCGTGCCTCTGGGATGCCCCACCACATCTGGCCAAGTGTGATTGGACACGCGAGGAACATGGTCTCCTGCTCCAGCAGAAGACCTCCGAGGTCCCTCCCAACCCTATCATCCCATGTTTCCTATATACATGCAGAATAAACATATATATTAACCCACAAAAAGGCATCCCGTCCAGGGGTGGGGGGGGGGTCTAGTTCTGGCTCCCTACACCAGCAGCACGTTCTTTGGAAGCCCCCAGGGTATATTAAGAGCCCTCCCCTCCTTTGCCAAAGGGAAATTTGGACATGGTTCCATTTGGGCGGGGGGGGGGGAAACCCAGGAGAGAAGCTATTGCAGGATACAAGGTCCTGGTTTGAAATGGGCCCAGTCTGTCTTCAGTAACCCTGTTCCCCTCCTTTCAGTGGGAGCCAAGCACCACCATGATATGCCTCGATGGGGAATGGAACCAGCGGGTATCCTGTGAGCCCATTGACTGCAGGATCCCGGACCAGCACCACGTCTACCCTGCTACTTTTAATTGCAGCGAAGGCACCACCTTGGGCAAGCGGTGCTCTTTTGCCTGCAAGCCCCCTGCTCAGCTGAAAGGTAAGTTTGCAACGGGATCCGTGCTGCTTTGGGGAGCCCGCGGGAGAACAGAAGAGCAGAGTTGGAAGGGACCTTGGAGGTCTTGTAGTCCAACCCTCGGCTTAAGCAGGAGGCCCTGCCTATACCATTTTAGACCCATGGCTGTCCAGTCTGCACCAGAAGACAAGGTAAGAAAACACCTCCTTCTCCTTCCAGGCAGGAGACCTTATAGCAGTGTTTCTCAACCTTGACCATTTTAAGGCATGTGGACTTCAACTCCCAGAATTCCACAGCCAGCACTGCTGGCTGTGGAATTCTGGGAGTTGAAGTCCACATGCCTTAAAATGGTCAAGGTTGAGAAACACTGCCTTATAGTATCCGATTGAAGGAGAAAGAGAAAGAGAAGGAGGGTGTCTTTTGATAAAGTTTGAATTGATCCTAAATCACCACCACCATCCTCCTTCTCCTTCTTCTTCTTCTTCTCCTCCTCCTCCTCCCTCTCCCCTCCCCCTCTCCTCCTCCTCCCCCTCCTCCCTTCAAACCCACTCCCTTCTAGTACTGATGATGTTATGAAAGGTCTGCAAGAAAACAACCAAGCTCAGAGAGCACCAAGGACCTCACAGTCCTTTTCCTTCTCCTCCTTCTTCTCTTTCTCCTCCTCCTCTCTTCAAACCCACTCCCTTTTTGTACTGATGATGTTATGAAACATCTGCAAGAAAACAACCAAGCTCCGAGAGCACCAAGGACCTCGCAGTCCTTCTCCTCCTTCTCCTCCTCCTCCTCCTCCTCCTCCTCCTCTTCCTCCAAGGCAGGAGACCTTACACTATCCAGATGGAAGGAGAAGGAGAAGGCAATTCTAAATGCTGAATCAATGGGCTGTGACTAACACTAATCAGTCACTGAGCTGCATGTTGGGGCCAGAGCCGGGGATGAGTCAGTCCAAACTCAATCCCCAATGTCACACCAGCCACTGTTTCTTAATGTCACAGTTCATCACCCTGCCGAAACAAGCATGAGATCACCCATGCTGGACTGTGGTGGACATGCCGGGTGAGTCAGACTGGAGAAAGCAGAGAAGCTGGCACAGGAAAGAAGCATTCAGAAGAGTCCAAGAATACCTCGTCAGCTCAAAAGCAGACAGAAAGGTGTCAGGGTTGTTTTCCTTCTTCCCTGCAACTCCTGTTCTGGATTCGGAAGGGCCTCTTAAACAGTCTCGATCGCTGAGGGCCATCCTTGCCAGTCTACTGCGAGAGAAATTAAGGTCCTCTCAAAGACAGGAAATTGTAAGGCAAAGCTTGTGTCCCAGTAGTTTTGGCTGAGCTTGGATTTGAAGAAGTCTGGCTGAATGCAAGGGAAGAAGCTGGGGAACAGGAAGCATTAGAACCTGGTGGCGCAGTGGTTAGAATGCGGTACTGCAGGCTAACTCTGTGTTCACTGCCAGCAGTTCGATCCTGACCGGCACAGGGTTGATTCAGCCTTCTATCCTTCCGAGGTCGGTAAAATGAGGGCCCAGTTTGTTAGGGGGCAACAGGCTGACTCTGTAAAGGGCTGTGGAAGCACCATGAAGCAGTAGATAAGTCTAAGTGCTATTATTATTGCTATTGCTAAGGTGGTGGAGCACTTACTAAGTTGGTAGGCCACTTCAAATAGCAGCTTCAAGTCAAATGGTGTCATTCTTGGTGAAGGAAAAGAAAAAAAAAAAAGGGGGGGGAGGGAAGTTTGGCCCGTCTGAGGATGATTCTGAAAAAAGATAATTTGGAAGTCTGAGATTCGGACTGGATGGATGGAGATTTTCAGAAATTTTCCTTGGATGGAATAGCCTCAGATTCCCCATTTTCCTCAGCATAAGTGTCAAACTCTACTTTTAATTTTCCCCCTGCCCAGTTTCTTCCCTTGAAAAGGAGGTGGTTTTGGATCCCCCCCCACTTTGTTTCCAAGGATGCTTTAGAACTTCTTTTGATGGTTTTAAAGCTTCCTTTATTGTTTTAAGATAGCAGAAACTCTCTCTGTGTGTCTCTCTCTCTCTTTCTCTCTTCCTCTCTCTCTCTCTTTCTTTCTTTCTTTTTTTCTTTCTTTCTTTCTGCCTCTCTCTTTCTCTCTCTCTTCCTCTCTCTCTTCCTCTCTTTTTCTTTCTTTCTTTCTCTCTTTCTCTCTTTCTCTTTCTCTCTTTCTTTCCCTTTCTCTGTCTCTTTCTTTCTCTCTCTCTCCCTCTTCCTCTTTCTTTCTCTCTCTCTCTCTTCCTCTTTCTTCCTCTTTCTTTCTCTCTCTCTTTCTTTCTTTCTCTCTGTCTGTATCTATCTATCTATCTATCTATCTATCTATCTATCTATCTATCTATCTATCTATCTATCTATCATCTCTTTATCTCTATCTGTCTCACACACACAAAATCCAGGTTCCATCACCCTCCAGTTCTTGCTTCTTGATCTGAAAAAACCACCCGAGTAGACATTTCCCTTCCGAAAGCACAGGATGACAAGCAAGTGGCCGGCAGGAAGTCAGCGGACTGTACAGTGAAAGGCAGAACAACTCAGAAAAATTAGATCCCACCTGTGAGAATTAAACTGAGACTTTCTTTCCTATCCCTCCGCAGGATTGAACCAAATGCCCATTTTTTATTGATTTATTTACTCCGGCACAGCAGTATTTATTACCGCTTGCACCCATCTGAATGACATTGTTTTCCCATCTTTCCCAGGAAGCAATAACAATTTGACATGCTTGGAAGACGGCCTGTGGTCCTTCCCGGAGGCTCTTTGTGAGCTGATGTGCAGGGCACCTCCGGTGATTCCCAACGCTGATCTTCAGACTGGCCGCTGCCGGGTCCAAAAACACAAAGTGGGATCCTTCTGCAAGTATAAGTGCAGACCAGGCTACCATGTTCCAGGACCTTCGCAGAAAGCGAGGAAGTAGGTGGCATCTCCTCCCTGATCTGTGCATTCCTCTGTAAGCCGCTCTCTGGGACACACAGTAAACCACTGTAGACTATCAGGGTTTTCCAACAAAAATAGGAATAGGAATAGAATAGAATGGAATGGAATAGAAGAGAAGAGAAGAGAATATGGAATGGAATGGAAGGAAAGGGAAGAGAAGAGAAGATAGAAAATAGAATAGAATAGAATAGAATAGAATAGAATAGAATAGAATAGAATAGGATAGGATAGGATAGGATAGGATAGGATAGGATAGGATAGGATAGGATAGAATATGGAATGGAATGGAAGAGAAGAGAAGAGAAGAATATGGAATGGAATGGAATGGAAGGGAAGGGAAAAGAAGAGAAGAAAAGAGAAGAGAAGTTAGAAAATAGAATAGAATAGAATAGAACAGAATATGGAATGGAATGGAAGGAAAGGGAATAGAATAGGATAGGATAGGATAGGATAGGATAGGATAGGATAGAATGCAGAATAGATTGGAATGGAATAATAGAGTTGGAAGGAGTTTTCCCAAAAAGACAGCTGAGCAATAGCCCCATCCCAGAACAAGTTAGCAGCTGAGACATCATTCTACATTACCCATTTCCCAATGGGCTAGTTTGACGTTTCCTTGTTTGCTTGTTAGTCCCAAAGATGCTTTTAAACGCAAGTGGACTTTTTTTTTTCCCTTCGAAAACATGTTGCTTCTTATTCAAGGAGCTCCTTCAGTTCTTTCCATTTTCAAAGAGTAAAAACAAAACAAAACAAGAAAGGAGAATATTTGTAACTGAGGGGGTCCTTGGCCCAGTTGCCCAGTTGCCTTTTTTTGGGGTGGGAGGGGGGAGAAAGCACCTTTGGGACAACTCTGACCTAGATGACTGAGAATCTCCATCCACATTTTGCTTTCTTGCTTGCTTGCTTGATTTTATTCCTGGCCATTGAGGTAGGCATAAATGAAGCCCCCCCCGCCCCCCCACTCTATTAACTCTGCCTTGGAGCTGCTGAAGGACCCTCTACAAAGTGTCTTTCCCCCTTCCCCTCCCTTCCATTCCTTGCCTTTGCAGTTTGCAAGAAAAGCTTATAGAAGTGAGCAAAGCCATCGTTCACAGACAGGAGGAGGTGTTAACGAGAGCGAAGGAGGTTGGATCCGATTCTCTGATTCTTAAATAGGGCTGCTCAGTCCCTTCTTTTTTCTTTTTTGTTTTTTTTTTATCTCTGCTACAGAAAAGGGCAGCTGGCTTCTTTTTTTTTCCCCTTGCTATTTTCTTTCTTTCTTTCTCTTTCTTTCTTCTTTCTTTATTTCTTCTTTCTTTCTTTCTTTCTTTTTTCTCAGAGGGGCTTAAATGGAATGGCCTTTAATGGTCTTTCCTTTGGGAAGGAGACAATTTTGGACCTGCTTCTTATTTAAAAGGCACACACACACACATACACACACACACACACACACACACACACACAGAGAGACACACGCAGTTAAGTTCACTCCTGTTCTGCATTTCTATGTCTTTTCATTCACAAACCAGCTTTGGGGCCACCCGCCTCCTTTTGGCAATGCCCTTCTTTGATATGGCATCCTGGGGAGCCCCCTTTGAACCTCGGTGGGAAAGTTCTCTCACTATCCTCCTCCTCCTTTTTTTTTATGACTGGGGGGAGGGAAGAGGGGGAGGAGGAACCACACCACCACATTAAAAATAGTCCTGGGGCCCCAAAGCAGCGGAAGATTCTGATTGAATGCCGTTTGTTTGTTTCTGTTCTCCCCTCCCTTCCCCAAAGGACCAAGTGTGTTTGTCCATCTCCTTCGGCAAACATGGGCAGCTTCCCGCTTGTGGCTCACCAATAAACAGCAAATAAGCCCAAAGGAGTGAAAGGGTCTGTGATCTGGATCCCTAACCAAATAAAAGAGTGGGAAGGGGGTCTTGGAGGTCTTCTAGTCCAGCCCCCTCATACCATTTCAGACAAATGGTGGTGCAATCTCTTCTTAAAAACCTTCCAGCTATTGGAGCGCCCCACCACTTCTGGAGGCAGGCAGGTTCCACTGGTTAATTGTTCCCATTGTCTGAAAATTCCTCCTTAGTTCCAAGTTGGATCTGTCTTTCATGATCCTGTCCATCCATTGCTTCTTGTCCTGTCTTCAGATGCTTTGGAGAACAGGCTGTCCCCTTCTTCTTCATGGCAGCCCCTTAAATAGTGTAACACTGCTGTCATGTCGTCCCCTCATCCTTCTTTTCCTTAATCTAGACATATCCAATTCCTGCAACTGTTCTTCCTACGTTTTAGCCTTCTAATCTTCTTTTGTTTCTAGAGTCCCTAAATATTGGAGGCATCTATGGCTGTTGCAAAGAATAGAATAGAATAGAATAGAATAGAATAGAATAGAATAGAATAGAATAGAATAGAATAGAATAGAATAGAATTTAGAGAACAGAACAGAATAGAATAGAATAGAATTTAGAGAATAGAAGATAGAATAGAATAGAATAGAAGATAGAATAGAATAGAACAGAATAGAAGATAGAATAGAATAGATACAATAGAATAGAATAGAATAGAATAGAACAGAACAGAATAGAAGATAGAATAGAATAGAACAGAATAGAACAGAATAGAAGATAGAATAGAATAGAATAGAATAGAACAGAATAGAATAGAATAGAATAGAATAGAAGATGGAATAGAAATAGAATAGAATAAAAGAGTTGGAAGAGACCTTGGGAGGTCTTCTAGTCCAACCCCTTGCTCAGGCAGGAAAGAGAAACTGGGAGAAACTGAGATTATTTTATTTCTGGTCTCTCCTCCATCCTTTTCTCATTCATCTCTCTCTCTCTCTCTCTCTCTCTCTCTCTCTCTCTCTCTCTCTCTCTCTCTCACACACACACACACACACACACACACACACACACACAACACACAACACATGCACTCACTCTCACTCTCTCTTTTGTCTTTGCATCTATCGAAGGAGGACATTTAAGATTCAGTGTGCCCAAGACGGGACGTGGCTGGAAGGGGCGTGCATCCCTGTGACCTGTGACCCACCCCCCTCCAAGTTTCACGGGCTCTACCATTGCACCAACGGTTTCCAGTTCAACAGCGTGTGTCAGATTAAGTGCAACGAGGAGGACTCTCAACCTGTGAGTCTTGCTGAGCGATGGCCGGGCAGGAAGGATTAAACCCCCCCCCCGCCTTTTCTTACCTGTCAAGCACAGGAAAATCAGAAGCCTAGGTCGTCCAAATGAATGCAAATGTATTGCCTGCTAACACGCTTCTTCGCAAGAATCTGAAGGACTAGCCATTAAGGCACATTAAAGGAGAATATTTGTAGCTCAGGACTGAAGTGGGGGGGGGTGTCCTTGGTGAAATCTGACTTTTGTTGTTTTCATGCAGATGTTTCATTGCCCAAACTAGGTATCATCATCAGTGCTGGAAGCGAACAGGGTTTGTGGGAAGGAGGAGGAGGAGGAGGAGGAGGAGGAGGAGGAGGAGGAAGAGGAGGAGGAGGAGGAGGATGGTGGCTGTGGGGTCCTTCATGCTCTCTGAGCTTGGTGATTTTCTTGGAGACATTTCATTACCCAACTAGGTAGCATCATCAGTGCTAGAAGGGAGATGGGCTTATGGGGGGAGGAGGAGGACTCCGCTACCCCTTTTCTAGGATGGTCGCGTACCACCTGCCAGGTGCCAATGTACCACAGGTGGTACCCGTACCAGTGGTTGAAAAGCCTGTCCTACACCACCTGCCTGAAACCCACAGTAGGCACTTTGAACCAGTTAAGACGCGGATTAACCCAGGGTGAGGTCCCGATTTAATCCCGCCCGTTTGACCAGGAACACGAGGGCCATCTTCTGCCCTGGTTGAACTGGAGGACAATCGACCTGTAGCAGAGTACTTACAATTCCTCCGAAACATTACAAGTTCAACCCTTGACCACCTCCGGTTGCAAACTCCCCCAATTTAAAACAAAAAACAGTTTTTTTTTTCCAGTTGAACTGGAGAGAATACAATTTATTCTGCCCGACGGTGATGATTTCACCGTTGGTGTTTCCCTGTTTCTGCAGCCTGGATGTGGTGTGGCGGTTAAGACCTTGGACGAGAATCCTGGATCCATTCCTTTCCGCTCTTTTGTGGTGCAGCTTCGTTCTCCGGCCTACCGTCTTTCTTTCTCTTTCCAGGGCCAGGGAAGTAACACGATTCGTTGTCGCAAGGATGGCAACTGGAGTGGATCATTTCATCTGTGCCCGGAGATGCAAGGGCAGTGTTCCGCGCCCATCCAGTTGAGGGGTGGCCTGAAACTACAATGTCCTGATGGCTCTGAAATAGGTATTTACACTACTTTCAGTTCCCATGGAGAACCCTAGTTGTGTCATTTAAGACGCACAAAAGAAGGGTAGTGGAGTCAGACTCTTCTTTTACCCAAATTTCAAAACCACAGCCGCAGCTCCTGAATCTATTTTTTTTTTAAAAAGAGGGAAGTCAGGATCTCAGGTGCCAGAAGATTCATTCATGGGTGGAGCAGGAAAAAGACACAGGGTCTTTGGTGTCTTTGGTGACCTCCACGGGCAACTTATAATGATGCTGATGGATGCTAACTCTGCCAGAGGGATGGAAATTAATCAAGGAGAGGGTCCATCTAGAACTGAGGAGAACTTTCCTGACAGTGAGAACAATGAATCAGTGGAACAGCTTGCCTCTGGATGTTGTGGTTGCTCCATCACTGGGGGCTTTTAAGAAGAGACTGGGCAGCCATTTGTCTGAAATGGTCTAGGGTTTCCTGCCTGAGCAGGGGGTTGGACTAGATGACCTTTGAGGTCCCTTCCAACTCTGTTATTCTATTCTATTCTATTCTATTCTACTGTACTCTACTCTACTCTACTCTACTCTACAATACTCTATTCTACATTCCATATTCTATTCTATTCTATTCTATTCTATTCTATTCTATTCTATTCTATTCTATTCTATTCTATTCTATTCTATTCCATTCTATTCTATTCCATTCCATTCCATTCCATTCCACTCCACTCCACTCCACTCCACTCCACTCCACTCCACTCCACTCTACTCTACTCTACTCTACTCTATTTTATTTTAGCAGGGGTTGGATTAGATAGTCCCTTCCAGCTCTGTTATTTTGATTCTATGTGGTCTCCTCCCATTGCTTACTTCTCTGGGCAAAGTAGCTGCAGGAATTGGGTATGTCTAGTGACTAGTCTAATGAAAAGAAGGACTAGAGTGACATGATAGCAGTCTTCCAATATTTGAGTGGCTGCCCCAAAGAAGAGGGGGGGTCAATTTATTTTTGAAAGCTGCAGAAGGCAAGACAAGAAGCAACAGATGGAAACTCATCCAGGAGAGAAGCAACCTGGAACTAAGGAGGAATTTCCTGGCAGTGAGAACAATTAAGCAGTGGAACAGCTTGCCTCCAGAAGTTGTGAATGCTCCAACACTGGAGGCTTTTAAGAAGAGATTGGACAACCGTTTGTCTGAAATGTCATCGGGTTTCCTGCCTGAGCAGCGGGTTGGACTAGAAGACCTCCAAGCTCCCTTCCAACTCTGCCATTCTGTTAATCTAATTAGGCTATAGTGAATGAGATGCTCTCTTCAACAGACCTTAAAAGCTATCTTTACCCCAAATCATCTAGATGGTCCATGGATCTGTGCCTTATCTAGGTTCTTGTGCAATGGATTTGCATGATGTACAGGGCTTTTTTTTTTTCCCCAGCCCTTTCTTCAGATGCCAGGAATTTGAGTCTGCAGACCCAGCTCTGTTCTTCCCTTGCTCATGTCCATCTGGAAAACACATTTCTTCTTTGAACATCCTTGCTCAGGATGCTTGGCTATCAATAAAGGTGAACCCAAGGGGAGACAGCCCAGCGTAAGGAAGCGAGATTGTGGGTTCTTTTTCCCTCCTATCTCTCTTTTGTGCCTGGTTTTGCCTTGTTCGAACTGTCAGGGAAGCAGGGTTCCCCCCCCCCTTCCAGGTCCCCCTCCCATCTCTTCATTATAGACTAGCTAGAGTGGAGCACACCAGGACCAGCTCCCACCTGTCCCCAGGGGAAAAGGCATGTGACCGGGATGAGCTCATCGCTCTGTAATGAAGCCAATTATGGATTGTATATCAAAACAATTCCAGGGCCGCTTTTTCTCCTGAAGTGTAAATTGCAGCACCAGCGAACAACGAGCAGAAGACGGCCCCAAGTTCCCTTTCTCCAGAAGATGCATTCTGCCCCTGGAGATGGGGGTGACCTTTTTGATATCCACCAAGGTTTGCTGGTACATTGCAAAGAATATTTGACTTGCCAGGGAGGAAGGAGGGAAGGATGAAGAACAAAAACAAATCCTGCTTTTCCATTTCAGGGGTGGAAGGAGGAGAAAGGAAGGCAGAGAGAAGAAACTCTAGTTATTTTGCCTCTTTGAAAGGTGCTTTGCATTGACTGCCTCTAATGGAATAGAATAGAATAGAATAGAATAGAATAGAATAGAATAGAATAGAAATACAATAAGAATAGAATAGAATAGAATAGAATAGAATAGAATAGAATAGAATAGAATAGAATGGAATGGAATGGAATGGAATGGAATGGAATGGAATGGAATGGAATAGAATAGAATAGAATAGAATAGAATAGAATAGAATAGAATAGAATAGAATAGAATAGGAGCTGGAAGGAACCTTGGAGGTCTTCTAGTCCAGCCCACCCGCTCAAGCGGGAGAACCTATACCATCTCAAACAAGTGACTGTCCAGTCTCTTCTTAAAAATCTCCAGTGATGGAGTACCCACGATTTCTGGTGGCAAGCTGTTCCACTGGTTGATTGTCCTCATTGTCAGAAAGTTTCTCCTTAATTCCAGGTTGCTTCTCTCCTTGATCAGTTTCCAACCATTGTTTCTCGTCCTGCCCTCTGGGGCCTTGACTTTTCTCACCGATTAAGAATTAAGCTTTTTGCCAGTTGGCATACAACGTCTTGGAAATGAACAAGAGCCCCTTTCTAAAAGTGATTTTAATATATATATTAAAGGTCCTAAAGAAGAAGTAATTTTCACTGGGAAGAATGGATGGATCTGAGTCTTCCATCAAACTGTTTAATTATTTTACTCATTTATGAAATTTCTTTGCCCTCCAACTTTCCTACAAGGTGACTCTGGGTGGATTGTTAGAAACCGAAATGCTTTAACTCCTGGGTCAGTCTCCTCCTCCTCCTCCTCCTCCTCCTCCTCCTCCTCCTCCTCCTCCTCCTCCTCCTCCATGCATTGCTTGCAGCAATTAAGTAGATCTAGCCCACACTTTCTTGCAAATGATGCTTGCTAATTCCTAGATAGCATCCAACTTACTTCTGGATTTTTGTTTTGAATTTAGAATGCCATGTTTTGAGGTTGCTCTATTCAGGCTAACATCTGGGAGCCAGATAAGTATTAACAGAATAACAGAGTTGGAAGGGACCTTGGAGGTCTTCTAGTCCAACCCCCTTCTCAAGCAGGAAACCCTATACCATTTGAGACAAATGGCTGTCCAGTCTCTTCTTGAAAACTTCCAGTGTTGGAGCATTCACAACTTCTGGAGGCAGGTTGTTCCACTGGTTAATTGTTCTCACTGTCAGGAAACTCCTCCTTAGTTCTAGTTTGCTTCTCTCCTTGATTAGTTTCCATCCGTTGCTTCTTGTCCTGCCTTCAGGGGCTTTGGAGAATAGCTTGACTCCCTCTTCTTTGGGGCAGCCCCTGAGATCCTGGAAGTTAGATATTATCCAGTTGACCTCTAGGTCCCTCTGTCTTCAAGTGAAGCTGCTCTTGGTGGATGGAGTCCTGAGGTTGGTTCAGATTCCTGCAGAATAATCCTACTGCTGACACCATTGTCTCTGCTTGGGTGGAGGGTTGGACTAGATGACCTACAAGGTCCCTTCCAACTCTGTTATTCTGGTTCTGATTCTGTATCAACAAATGTTTGTGTTCCATGTTCTCTGTGGAGACAGGCCACCTGTGAATCTGGCAGACTTAATCCCTCAAGTTAGACCTACCTTAGAGAATTTAATTCTTCCTGTTGGTGTCCTTTTTCCTAACCCACTTATATCCAGGATTTTGCCTTCTTCCCAATTTAGCCTGCGCATAGAGTCACCTCCTGAATGATAGAAGCAGGCAAATCGATCTGTTAGCTCTACTACTTCTGTATTAACAGCTCTGCCTTTTGAGCTACCAACAGGTTTGACTGCTGGGTGGAAATCTGTAACTGGAGGCTACAAACTGCCTATTTTATGTATCCACAATAACAACATTGGGGGGAGGGGGCAATTAAAATAGTAGGCAGCTTGCAGAATAGATGCTGTCGAAATATCAGCCTCGAGGCGTGTGCAAGAGCCAGCGTTGTATGGCCCAGCTAATAGATAGATAGATAGATAGATAGATAGATAGATAGATAGATAGATAGATAGATAGATAGATAGATTAATCCTAGTTGAGATATTAATGCATTGCTTTCATCTCATACTTTTTATCATTTCAAGGAGCTGAATGCACCATCTTATGCCCAGAACATCATACGGAGCCCATCCTGTTAAGTGCCAACGAAACGTTGCAGGACATCCAACACTGGATGAAGCCCCCACGAGTGAAGGTAAGAGTCCAATCAAAGGACAGAGATGGGTTGGCCAAAATAGAGATAAAAGTGTGGTTCCCATCGGTGGGTTCACTGCTTTTTAATGCAGTAAGTCCTTTCTTCTCTCCCCTCCTCCCTCCGCTTCCTTCATCCTTTTATTGCTTCATCTCTTTCCCTCTTCTCCTTCACTTCCTCCCTCCCGCCCTTCCTTCCTTCCTTCCTTCCTCTCCATCTTTTCCTCCCTCCCTCCCCTTCCTTCCTCCCTTCATCTTTCCCCTTTTCCTTTCCCTTTTTTACTTCCTTCCTTCCTTCCCTCCCTCCTTACCCTTTTATTCCTTTCCCTTTCCCCTTCCCTTCTTTCTCCTTTTCTCTTCCTTCCCTCCTCCTCCTTCCTTCCTTCCCTACCTTCCTCCCTCCCTTCATTCCTCCCTTGATGCCTTCAGCAGCTCTTTCTCTCTTTCTCTTCCCCTTCCCTCCCCTCCTTCCTTCCCCTTCTCTTCCTCTTTCCATCTCTTCCTCCCTCCCTCCCTTTCCTTCCTCCCTTCGTCTCTTTCCCCTTTTTCCTTTCCCTTTTTTACTTCCTTCCTTCCCTCCCTCCTTCCCCTTTCATTCCCTTTCCTCCTTTCTCTTTCTCTCTTCCCTCCTCCTTCCTTCCCTCCCTTCCTCCCTTCTTTCATCCCTTGATCCATTCAGCTCTTTCTCTTTCTCTCCCTCTTCCCTCCCTTCCTTCCTTTCTTCCCCTTCCCTTCTCTTCCTCTCTCCATCTCTTCCTCACCTTCCTTTATCCCTTCATGTTTTCCGCCCTTTCCTTTCCCTTTTCTCCTTCCTTCCTTCCTTCCTTCCTTCTTTCCCTCGCTCCCTCCCTCCCTCCCTCTCCAGTCACCTGCCTCAGTCCTTTATTGATGCTTGCTTTTAGAAGGAACCATAACAGGTTTTATACCTGCGTGTCCCTGGAGGTCTCATTAGATAGCTGGGAGGGGAAAAAAAAATAACTGGCAATAAAAAAGAAGGAGAAAAAAAAAAAGAAAGAAAGGGAAAGCAGACAGGGTTTGGAAGGAGGGGGAAACCAGGGAGAGGATGATTTCATCCAGAACACCAAAAGAAAAAAGAAAAAAAAAGAATAGATTTTATTACAAGAACTTTGCTGAAGCTACAGAAAGGTTAGGCGACGTGACAATGAATTTGATTGCTCAAGCTGTTAAGAAGAGCCTCGTTCGATGCTGCTGGATAAAATTACAGGATGGGGACCCACTTTGCTGAAAGGCACGAGGTGTTTGTGTACAAGCCACACCCTGCAGTGTCCCTGTGGCTTGTGGTGTTCTTTGACCTCAGTTGCCCTTGTTGTTCTTGACCTTGTTTGTCCAGACAATGATCGGTTCTATTTGTCCGGGCAAACCCCATGAGTCTACAGACTGCCGCTTCTGAGGCCACCATCGCCACAACCCATGGTTGTTCAGGAGATGTCGGCTTAGCCAAGACACTTAGACAATGGCAAGAAAGAAGCGAAGGGAGAAGGGAGAGAGGATGTCTCAGAGGAGGCACCCAACATGGAAGGGGTTGGTACGGCTAAAAAAAGATCTTTATTTATCTGCAATCGTGGCGACATGAGTCATAATGGAGAGAAGCTGAAAGTTTATCATAAGCTATCTGGAGGAGCTGATGGTCAAGGAAAAAAATAATTGGATACTTATAAAAGAGAATATTTGTAACTCAGGGTTGAAATGGGGGATTCCTGATGCTCTCTGAGCTTCTTGCAGACGTTTCATGACCCAAACTAGATAATATCATCAGTGCTAATCTAGTTTCCACGAGGCCCCTCCACCTTGGGATTGACAAAACTGTGCCCTTCACCGCTTACCCCACCACTGACCATCTTTATCCAGGCTGCCTTCACACAAACCAGACCTGTTTTAAGACAGGTGGAACAGTTTTGGACCCTGAGTCATATGGAAAAAACCCCCGCGCTGTGGAAAGATCAACAGTCCCACACAAGCGGGCTAAATGAGCACCACTAAAAAAAAAAAACCACACACACCCCGAGGTTTTCCAGCAGTGTTAGACCTCAAATAAAGACAGGGAAAGATAAATTATGGCTCCTGGTTGTCCCCTGTCCTCTCCGTTTGTAAAGATCTCTGCATCTTTCATGGAAAAGCAGGGCAGGCTTTCTTCGTGGGGGGAAAATAAGTGGTACTCTGGTGAGGTGTAATTAAAAAGCTTAATAGAACTGTTTCTTTGCATCCTTCTGGAAGGAGATCGATGTGGCCCATAATATTCACCAAGAGATTGCAGCGATGGCAAACACCCAAAAGTATCGGTGTAATAATTTGGGAAAGGTAGCATGCAGGAAAATAATAATAATAATAATAATAATAATACAAGCAGCGGCATGACAAAGTAGCAACAATGGTGCATTGGAAGATCTGCAAAAAATATCACTTGCCTGTAAGCAAAAACTGGTGGGATCATAAAATAGAGAAAGTCATAGAAAATGATAAAATTAAACTGCTCTGGGACTTCAGAATTCAAACAGACAAGCACCTGCAACATAACACCCCAGACTTAACAATTGTCGATAAGAAAGACAAAAAAATCTGGATAGTGGACGTGGCAGTGCCTGGAGACCGCAGAATAGATGAGAAAGAACTGGAGAAGATAACAAAATACAAAGACCTACAAATAGAAATAGAAAGACTGTGGCAAAAGCAAGCAAGGGTAGTACCAATAGTCATAGGCGCCTTGGGTACAATCCCAAAACAACTGGAGCACCACTTGAACACCATTGGCATTGACAAATTCGCTATTAGTCAATTGCAAAAGGCGGCCTTACTAGGAACTGCTTCCATCCTGCGACGATACCTGTAATACCATCAAACATCCACATCTGCCTATCCCAGGTCCTGGGTAAGGACTCGATAGGTAGACAAAATGCCAAATCCAGTCTGAACATCTGGCTGACTGTGCGATGATCCATAATAATAATATGTAAATTAGTTTTAGCTACAGCTCCTTTCCCTATCTCAAGTCTTCAGAATAACAGAACTGGAAGGGACCTTGGAAGTCTTCTAGTCCAACCTCTTGCTCAAGCAAGAGACCCTTTGCCAGGGGTCTTCAAACTTGGCCCTTTTAGGACTTGTGGAAGTCAACTCCCAGAATTCCTCAGCCCAGCGTGCCTGGCTGAGGAATTCTGAGAGTTGACATCCACAAGTCCTGAACAGGCCAAGTTTGAAGACCCCTGCCCTATACCAATTCAGACAAATGGCTGTCCAATCTCTTCTTAAAAACCTCCAATGATGGAGCACTCATAACCTCTGGAGGCAAGCAGTTCCACTGGTCAATTATTCTATCAGAAAATGTCTCCTTGGTTCTAGGTTGCTTCTCTCCTTGATTAGTTTCCACCCATTGCTTCTTGTCCTGCCCTTCAGGTGCTTTGGAGAATAGCTTGACTCCCTCTTCTTTGGGGCAGCCCCTGAGATATTGGAAGACAGCTATCATGTCCCCCCTCATCCTTCTCTTCGTTAAACTAGACCTACCGAATTCCTGCAACCGTTCTTCATGTGTTTCTTTAGCTTAATATTTCCTACACTTTTTTTCTTAGAGAGGTCATCTACGTACATAAATATCCACCAGCCTATTCCTAAAGTATTTATGTACGTAGTTGACCACTTTAAGAAAACCCTCCTTTGTGCTAATAGTAGGAACGGGAAAAACCTTGACCTCATTACCAAAATTTCTCCTTTTTTTTTTTTTTTTGCCTGCCTCTCTTTTCCACCACAGAGGCTCCTCTCCCTCACGCGAATGAAATATCAACCATGATGGAACCTTAAATATTATTTTAATCTCGCGCTTTCTGTTATTGCAACTGTTGGGTGTCTGACAGTTCTTTTAACTACTTGGAGAGATGCCAGGTCGTGAAACACACCAAACCTACAAGGGGGACTACATTTGATTTTCAAGGGAAGGACCATCTGGAGATTTAGATGTGGGTCCAGAAAAGTTGCTCCTTTGCTGGAGGTTGATGTTCCTCATCGCTCAATATGTTCTTTCTTCCCTTCCACCTTCTAGAGAGTTGTCTGCACGGGAGAACTGAAGTGGTATCCATACCTTGACTTGATCTACTGCATCAAAGGTTGTGAGGTGAGTAAGCCAGTCCAGTTCTCTGGGTTTACCCCTTACTACAGATCTTGTCTCTCTTTTTGCTCAACTCCTGCAGCTCCATTGTTCCCCCTTCACCACCATAATCTATGAATGTGGCCTTGGGGGAGATCGTTCCACACACTTGCTATTCTTGGTTTGTTTTTGCCAACGTCAAACAAAACGCTTTTACAGTGAACAAGTCATGGAGTTGGGACTCTTTTCCTCAACTTTGATAAGTAGCAACATCTCGCTTATCTTTATTAATCTCCAAAAGTAAAACAGGTTCAAACTTGGTTTGTCTTTGGACGGGGCAAATATCAGTCAACTGAGCTGGGCTGGGCTGTGAGAGAGAGAGAGAGAGAGAGAGAGAGAGAGAGAGAGAGAGAGAGAGAGAGAGAGAGAGAGAGATTCTCAAAGGTGGCAGTGGTTCCATATTGTTCTCAGGGCTCAAGATCAACTTGACTAAGAGTTTTATCTTTAACCCATTTTTAAAAATTTGCTTAGAAAATTAAGATCTACCTGTTTGTAAGAGAAGAAACTGCGAAACAATGCATGCCTTTGCTTCAAAAACCAAGAACGAGGTGGCGCAGCAGTTAGAGTGCAGTACTGCAGGCCACTTTAGCTGACTGTGTTCAGCAGGTCAGCGGTTCAAATCTCACCGGCTCAAGGTTGACTCAGCCTTCCATCCTTCCGGGGTAGGTAAAATGAGGACCCAGATTGTTGGGGGCAATGTAAATATATATATATACATTGTTTACTGGTGTACACCGCTTAGAGAGTGCTTGCACTTAAAGTGGTATATAAGTCTCATAAATAAATAAATAAATAAATAAACATAGACTTGATTCCGGCCTCTTCTTCTGAAATGGTTAGCTTTTTTATTTATTTATTTTTTAATTATGCAAAAGGGAGAGATTAATTAAACAAACAAGGAATTATTCTATTCGGTTTTTGGAATCAAAACTAATTCGAGTTGGGTTATTCCAATGCTGGAAGTTTTTAAGAAGAATCTGGACAGCCATTTGTCCGAAATGGTATAGGGTTACCTGCCTGAGCAAGGGGTTGGACTTGATGACCTCCAAGGTCCCTTCCAGCTTTATTATTATTATTATTATTATGGATCATCGCACAGTCAGCCAGATGTTCAGACTGGATTTGGCATTTTGTCTACCTATCGAGTCCTTACCCAGGACCTGGGATAGGCAGATGTGGATGTTTGATAGTATTACAGATCTCGTCACAGGATGGAAGCAGTTCCTAGTAAGGCCGCCTTTTGCAACTGACTAATGGCAAATAATGTTGGTTGATTAGTTGTTGGTTGGTTGTTGGTTGTTGTTGGTTGGTTAGTTGATGGTATTACAGATATTGTCGCAGGATGGAAGCAGTTCCTAGTAAGGCCGCCTTTTGCAATTGACTAATTGCGAATTTGTCAATTCCAATGGTGTTCAAGTGCTGCTCCAGTTGTTTTGGGATTGCACCCAAGGAGCCTATTACTATTGGTACTACCCTTGCTTGCTTTTGCCACAGTCTTTCTATTTCTATTTATAGGTCTTTGTATTTTGTTATCTTCTCCAGTTCTTTCTCCTCTATTCTGCTGTCTCCAGGCACTGCTATGTCCGCTATCCAGACTTTTTTGTCTTTCTTATCGACAATTGTTAAGTCCGGGGTGTTATGTTGCAGGTGCTTGTCTGTTTGAATTCTGAAGTCCCAGAGCAGTTTAATTTTATCATTTTCTATGACTTTCTCTATTTTATGATCCCACCAGTTTTTGCTTACAGGCAAATGATATTTTTTGCAGATCTTCCAATGCGCCATTGTTGCTACTTTATTATTATTATTATTATTATTATTACTATTATTATTATATTTATTTATTTATTCCTTCCCATTTATCACCTTCTATAGTCAGATATAAGCCTCAGAGCAAGGGGTAGTGTGCCTGCTCAAAACATTTAAACCACGCTGTTTCTCTTCTCTGTCCCCCTTTTTTTTTAAAAAAAAAATTATTATTATTTTTATTATCTCTTCTCACTTCCGAGCTTCCTGCTTACAGTTACATCATGTTTTTTTCACACTTTTTTCCTCGAGTTAAAAATTACCCGCAGGTTTTATCTCTCCCTAAAAAGCCAAGACTTCTACACATAGAAGACGTGGAGTTTTTTTTTTTTTATTAACACAGCAAGCAGAGAGAGAAAAAATACTTAAGGTCTATGATTAAAAATTGCCTCACCGTGCCATTAATAGATCAGTGTTTACGTTTGGCGCTTAACTCATCTCCTCGGAAATAGCTTGCTTGTTCGAGGGATACATATGTGTGTGTAGCTCTGGGTCTAATGCATTTCCCCCCCCCCTGCAAAATTTAATCAAGAATATTTCTCAGTTTAAAGCTGTTAGAAGGGATTGGGTTTTTTTTTGTTTTGTTTTGTTTTTTTGTTTTAGGTGAGGATGAGATAAGCTTCCTTAAACAAATTGGAGAAAGGGAGAGGATTATCCTCTCAAAAAGCACTGCAGGAAAGGAACGAAGGAGTTGAAGGGATGCTTGAGGTTCTGTTTGGGCAACCTTCGTTCGCTCAGCGAGGGAAATCCAGATTAAAAACCTTGCCTATGCAGAAAAATTCCTTCTTTATCTTTTAAACAGACACCGGATCTCTGTTCTCAAAAGCGTCAATTCCAGCATCAAATTTCATTTATTATCAAGAAATTGACCCTGGGATTCAACCGTTCTTAACTCAAGGTCATGACAGCTAAAGCTTCAGGAGCAACAGGCTTTGCCCGTATCCAGAGTTGGATATCCATTTTTTTTTCCTCCTTGAAAACGTCTCGCTTCTCATCCCAGAAGCTTCTTCAGCTCTGAAGATGCTTATGGACAAGAAGGGAAACACTTCCAAAGGGGGGGGGGGGAAATCAAGGAAGTCCAGTTGCCATTTGGGACTCTTGCTGTGGAGTTTCTCTACAAAGCTGGGAGGCCCCCAACTTTGGGGAGCACCATGGAGGCAAACTATGGGGGTCAAGGAAAGAGAGGAGTAAGGCATCTCATGCACATTGTGGTGACACCTTCTGATGTCTGAGTGATGTACTACCTAGCTTTGTTATGTAAAGCAAAGACACCTGCAAGGTTCAGGAACTAGAGTAGGGGTGTCAAACTCGCAATGTCATAGGACGTTTAGTGACGTATTGTGAGTTTTTCCGCCATCTTTTTATTTCTGGGGCAAGCCTTGGCACCGTGCCAAAATGACGTAATGCTACATTCCAATGACATCGCCTCTAAAGGGGACGACATCATCTTTTTATTTCTGGGGCAAGCATTCTATCTATCTTTCTTTCTTTCTTTCTTTCTTTCTTTCTTTCTTTCTTTCTTTCTTTCTTTCTTTCTCTCCTCCCCCTTTTTTCTTTCTTTCTCTTTCTTTCTTTCTTTCTTTCTTTCTTTCTTTCTTTCTTTCTTTTTCTTTCTTAGTCTTTCCTTATTTTTCTTTCTCTCTTTCTTTCCTTGTTTCCCTTCTCTTTTTCTTTCCTTGCTTTTTCATTCTTTCCTTCCTTCTTCCCCTTTCTTTCATTCTATCTTTTTTCTTTCTTTTTCTTCCTTTCCCTCCCTCTCTTTCCTTCTCCTTTCTTTCTTTCTTTCTCTTTCTCTTTCTATCTTTTTCTTTCTCTCTTTTTCTCTTTCTCTTTCCTTATTTTTCTTTCTCTCTTTCTTTCCTTGTTTCCTTCCTTCTCTTTTTGTTTTCTTGCTTTTTCATTCTTTCTTTCCTTCTTCCCCTTTCTTTCATTCTATCTTTCTTTTTCTTTCTTTTCTTTCTTTCCCTCCTCCTTTCTTTTTTTCTTTCTTTCCCTCCTCCTTTTTTTCTTTCTTTCTTTCCTTCTTTCCTTTCTTCCTTCCTTCTCTATCTTTCTCTAAAGGCAACGACATCTTTTTATTTCTGAGGAAAGCCTTGGCACAGTGCCAAAATGATGTCTTCCCCTTTGGGAATGATGTCATTGGAATGTAGCATTACATCATTTTGGCACTGTGCCAAGGCTTGCCCCAGAAATAAAAAGATGATGTCGTCCCCTTGGCACTGTGCCAAGTATGACACTAATTAAAACAAAAACTTTTAAAAAAAACTCTCTTCTTTGTTGTGATCATGGAAGTTAAATACACTTGGTATGCAATCATAAAACTATACACTATAGGTAAGCCTCACTTTATGACCATTAATCCTGGTTCCCAGGCTCCCAGGGCTGGTTATGTTGGCCTCTGACTGATTCTTCAATCAAAGTTCTGATTTCAACACTCAACCTGGAACCATGCAGGGACCAGGGCATCCGGTCCCTACATAAAGCCTATTGCAAAGCCTGCATCCCCAGCTGGTTCTGGCTATAGCACTACGTTGCCCTGGCACGCTGCCAGGGAAAAAGGCTCTTTGCACATTTTCTAGTTAGAAAAGAGTAAGGACGATGTAAGGCTGCATTCTGATGACTTTGCCCCCAAACTGACCAACCTAGCCTGTCCTATCTTGGGAAAGCCTGACTTTTTTGCCCTCTTTGGGCTAAGGAAATATTAGGGCCAGACTTTTGGCCCACTTTGGGGGTTAGAAAAGAGTAAGGCTGCATACAATGGGATTTTAAGGTTATTATTCTGCATCTTTATTATGAGAAGCCCTGTTATTTGTATTAATAGAACAACGGGAGGCCCTGGGCCTGCAAAGCAGGCACAGGTGTAGGCAAAAAGGCTCTTTGCAATTGTTCTAGTTAAGAAAATTTGCATTCTGATGACTTTGATCCACACAGCCTGTCCTATCTTGGGTAACCCTGGCTTTTTTTGCCCTCTTTGGGGTAACGTTTATTTCCTCGTGGGGCTGCTGTTCCTGCCTTGACCACAGGTGGGCGAAGTTTTCTGTCCCGTACCATTAGCACCGAGGCCATCATCGACCTTTTTAACTCGGTTTAAGGCTTTGAGAAACGGGTTTCCTGCTTCCATACCTGTTCTGCAGCCCCCGGGCCTCCCGTCACTCTATTATGATTAACCGGTGGGTATGCATACCACCTGGGGCAGGTAGTAGCAGCCCTGCTCAGGCAAGCGTAGTAGGAGGGGGCGGAGACAGCAACAGCCTTAGGTATATAATTAGGCAAGCAAGCCGGCAAGGAAGCCGGCAGCTTGTGAGGCGATGTACAACTGGTGGCAACGCAACGCTGGGCAACGCAACGCTGGGCAACGCAACGCTGGGCAACGCAACGAAACGCAGCCAACAGGCAAGAAATGCAGTATCGGCTGGAGGTAAGGCACTGGGGGGGGGGAGGAAGGGAGGGAGATGGAGAGTGCTTTTGTGAGTTTGACGTTGTGGGATCTGAAAATGCAGAAGTCTTTTTTTAATGGTGGAATATTTAAGGGAAGGTAATTTGTATAGTACTTTTTTTGCACCGCACGGCACGAAGGCAAGGCAAGGCAACTAACAGACAAGAAATGCAGTCTGGGGGGGGAGGAAGGGGGGGAAATGGAGAGTGCTTTTGTGCGTTTGAAGTTGTGGGATCTGAAAATGCAGAAATTTTTTTTTAATGGTGGAATATTTAAGAGAAGCTAATTTGTATAATTTATAGTTCTTTTTTTGCACCGCACGGCACGAAGGCAAGGCAAGGCAACCAACAGACAAGAAATGCAGTCTGGGGGGGAGGAAAGGGGGGAAATGGAGAGTGCTTTTGTGAGTTTGAAGTTATGG